AAAAAAAAAAAAAAAGAAAGAAAAAAATAAATACTCCAAACTGGCTTAAAAAAACCACAAGCATAAAATCCACCTGGCCGGGCGCTGTGGCTCATGACTGTAATCCCAGCTCTGAGGGAGGCAGAGGGGGGAGGACAGCTTGAGCCCAGGAGTTCAAGACCTGCCTGGGCAATATAGCGAGACACCATTCTCCACAAAAATGAAATAAATTTTCTGAAATTTTTAAAGAAAAAAAAACTATCTGAAATATAGATTTGTATGCATTCACTAAAAAACATATCAACATTATATTCTGTCTCATGGTATACCTAGGAAAGCCTTCCTTGAAGATTTTTTGAGAAAAAGACAGTATCGCTGGTAGTAGTGAAGTCTAAGAACAGAGCCATGTACAATGGCATTCTTTGTGGCCAAGAAATTCCCAATGGGGAGTGGTTTTCCAGACATTCAAGGTACAGGGATGCTCTGAAAATCCAGAGTTTTTTTTGCTTTTGTTTTGAGATGGAGCTTCGCTCTTGTTGCCCAGCCTGGAGTACAGTGGCACAACCTCGGCTCACTGCAATCTCCACCTCCTAGGTTCAAGCAATTCTTCTTTCTGCCTCAGCCTCCCGAGTAGCTAGGAGTACAGGTGTGAGCCACTGCACCCAGCCAAAACCAGAGTTTTGAGACTGTTAGTAACCAGACATGCCATCCCTCTACACTGCTCGACTTCACTGCACAAGTCTCTTCTCTTACATAGAGATTCAGCCTCACAGGTAACTTCTATCTCAAGCACCCACAGGTTGTTGCTTTAGATAATTTACGTAATGAAGAGATTAAAATCTGTTAATAGGACATACCCACTAGAACACAGTCAATTCAAAAAACACAGCTTACCATATGTAAGTAGTATGACAGAGGTTAATCATATGGTACAATATATTTATTAACACTGCAATAACAATAATTTCCATTAGCTATTTAATCGGTATTTTAAATTAAATGGATCATATAGCTGGGCAAGGTGGTTCAAACCTGTAATCCCAGCACTTCGGGAAGTCGAGGCAGGCAGATTACCTGAGGTCAGGAGTTCAAGACCAGTCTGGCCAATATGGTGAAAGCCCATCTCTACTAAAAATACAAAAATTAGTCAGGCATGATGGTGCACACCTGTAGTCCCAGATACTCAGGATGCTGAGGCAGGAGAATCGCTTGAACCCAGGAGGCGGAGGTTGCAGTGAGCTGAGATTGCACCACTGCACTCCAGCCTAGGCAACAGAGGGAGACTCCATCTCAAAAAAAAAAAAAAAGGGGGGGGGGCATCTGCCCACTGCTCCCAGCACCCATCTCAAGATTAAAAAACAATATAATGGAGAACTATTACAGAAAGAAACTGAAAGATCTACCTGAGCAGGGCTTCAGCCATGTATGGGAGATTAGCCCCCCCCAGGAACACTAATAAGGACTAATAAGCACTAATAAGGAATCTAATAAGTAATCTAGTAGACATTTCATAAGTTTTTGCACCTGTAAAACAAAAATAAGCTACTATGATACAGCAGAGGTCAGAGAACAAGAAAGGTTCTTATAAATTAAGAATATGATTGTGGACTTAAAAAAATAAAAAGTGCATCAAAAGGATTCAAACATAAATTCAATAACATCTTGCAGAAAACAAAGGAAACGTCAAAGAGCCAGAAAATATAAAAGTTGAGCCATGGTGGTCCAACAGCCAACCAACAAAAATGCCATAAAGAAGAAATAAAGAGGCCAGGTGTGGAGGCTCACACCTGTAATCCCAACGCTTTGGGAGGCCAAGGCAGGTGGATTCCTTGAGCTCAGGAGGCCAAGACCAGCCTGAGAAACATCGTGAAGCCCCATCTCCACAAAAAAATACAAAAACTAGCCAAGTAGCTGGGACTACAGTAGCCGGGATCCCTTGTGCCTGGGAGGTAGAGGTTACAGTGAGCTGAGATTGCACTATTGTACTCTAGCCTGGGTAATAGTGAGACCCTATCTCAATCAATCAATCAATAAAAATAAAGAGGAGAGGAAATAGTTTATAAAATAGGAACAAAATCCACGTGAGGTTTCTTTTCATTTCTTTTTTTGAGACAAATTTTTCCTCTTGTTTCCCAGGCTGGAGTGCAATGACATGATCTTGGCTCACTGCAATCCCCTCCTCCCAGGTTCAAGCGATTCTCCAGCCTCAGAATTACAGGCATGGGTCACCACTCCCAGCTAACATTGTTGTTTTTTTTTTCCCTTTTCTTTTCTTGTTTTTTTTTTGCGACAAAGTCTCACTTTCTCACCCAGGCTGGAATGCAGTGGCACAATCTCGGTTCACTGCAAACCTCCACCTCCCGGGCTCAGCTGATTCTCCTGCCTGAGCCTCCTGAGTAGCTGAGATTATAGGCACATGCCACCACGCCCAGCTAATTTTTGTATTTTTAGTAGAAACAAAAATACAAAATTAGACTCCCAGGAACACTAATAATTAGTCCTTATTGGTGTTCCTGGGGGGCTAATTTTAGTGTTCCATGGGGGTTTCACCATGTTTGCCAGGCTGGTCTCAAACTCCTGACCTCAGGTGATCTACCCGCCTCAGCCTCCCAAAGTGCTGGCATTAAAGGCATGAGCCATTTCACCAGGCCAATTTTCCTGCCTCAACTTCCCAAGTAGCTGGAATTCCAGGCATGCACCACCATACCCAGCTAACTTTTATATTTTTAGTAAAGATGGTGTTTTGCCATGTCGGCCAGGCTGGTCTTAAACTCCTGGCCTCAAGTGATCCACCTGCCTTGGCCTTCCAAGTGCTGGATTACAGGCAGGCATAAACCACCACATCTGGCCCTTACTTAGATCTTAAGGAGCAGGTAACACTGACACCTGGAAAGTGTTCAACCTTTCTAACAAAAAATAGCTCATTTAAAAAAAAAAAAAAACTTTTCCACTGTTTTCCAGCATACAGCAAACATGATAAAAACACACACATTTAGAAACCACCCACTTTCTACAGAGAAGAAAAGAATTCAGAACTAACGTGAATTATATATATCTTTACTATATATAATAAAGTATTATAATACTTTATGGTGGTTAAGTCTGAATTAATGAGGAAAATATATACTCAAAGGAATTTTTAAGTTTTGGACCTGAAATCACAAATAGAGATTTCTAGTCCAGTTATTTTTCAAGTGCAAATTCACAAAGTTTTCTAAGTGTCTTCAACGAATGATGCTGGGACAAGTGGATATCCACATGCAAAAAAAATGAGGTTAGCCTCTTCTCTCACATCATATACAAAACCAACGCAATATAAATCCAAAGACCCAAATGTAACAGCTAAAACTATAAAGCCCTTACAAGAAAATATAGGGCCAAGGCTTTGGGACACTAGATTTGAAAATAGTTTCTTATATATGATACCAAAAGCACAAGCACCGAAAGAAATATTAAAGAAACTAAACTTCATCAAAATTAAAAACTGTTGTACTTCAAAGAACACTATAAAGAGAGTGAAAAGACAATCCATATGACCCACAATTCCACTTGTAGGTATATGTCCAAGAGAAATTAAAACATATGTGTACCCAAAAATCTTCAAAGCAACACTATTCACAGTACTCAAAAGGTGTAAATGCAAATGTTTACCAACTGCTGAATGGATGCACAAATTCGGCATATCCATATGATGGACTATTTATTCAGCCATAAAAAGGAATGAAGTACTGGTACATGTTACAACATGGATGAACCTTGAAAACAGCATGTTAAGTGGAAGAAGTCAGTTATAAGAAGGCCACATAAATCCATTTATATGAATTATCCAGAGAGAAAAAGAAGGTAGATTTCTGATTGTCAGGGGATGACAGAAGCGGGAAATAGGTATGCTTAATTGATATACTTAAACTCATACTTAATGAGTATGGGGTTTCCATTTGGGGTGATGACTATGTCCAAAGGCTTAGCAACTGTATTCCTTCCCCCTTTATGCTACATCCAACACCTGTGCTGGAAGCTTTCTAAAGAAGTCCTAAACTGCCTGATGCCAGCCAAAAGGAAGGCAAACAGCTTCAAAACACACTAGTTAATCAAAGATGAAGAACCACAGTATAAATAAGGTTGCTACTGAGAGTTAGCGTGGGAGATGATACGAAGTTTTGACTATGGTAAGACAATTACAAACATAAAACAGTATAACATTACATCACTCTGATATCATGTACTTACCCAGACCAAAGTTTCTCAATTTTGGCACTGCTGACATCTAGACCAGAATAATTCTTTGTCATGGGGGCTGTCCTGTGCTTTGCAGGATGTTTAGCAGCATCTCTGGCCACAACCCACCAGACACTAGTGGCGTTCTCCAGTCATGACAATTAAATATGTTTCCAGACATTTTGCCCCAGGTGGCAAAATGGCTCTCAGATGAGAACCACGGCTCTAGACTAAAATATTGACCATTCTGTCCAACATTAATATACATGATGTACCTTAGGGTTATGAGTTGGGAAATCAGAGAAGACAAAAAACCTAGACAACCTGGGATTGCTATGGGTCAACTTCCTAAAAGCCAATGTTTGGGAAAGGATTATGGGAAAATGTAAGCTGAGAGAGTTGAAATCTTGAAAATACATTCCTAGGATTAGAACAATGGCCACCTAAATTAAGGGGAGTTGGAATAGACCAACAGGGACCCGGTAATACTCTTCATTGTCACTGTTTTGTTGATTTAATTCCCTTGTGGATCAGTGATGCTCAAAGACCAGTAGAGAAATGGTCCCTGCTATCTGCATGCTGGATGACTATCCTGTCTGCCCTGGGGATAAAGGCAGCTATGCAGACACTGCCAGAGAGTTTCTGGTTTCTGTGAAGAAAATAAAAACACTGCCTACCTGAGAGTCCCGTTCTCTCCTTTGTCCAGGCTGGTGAACCGGCTGTAGAGGCGAGTGATTTGACTGTGGGAAACTAAAGAGCACAAAATTAGTGCGGGGGAGGGGGGCGGGGGAGCAGCCCTCCTTGACACTGAACCCACCCCCTGCTGTCAAAAGCTTCAAAATTGAGTAAGACGGGGATGTAGCAACTCTTATCTTGAGACTGTTAAAGCAAAAAGTTTAAAAGCTAAAGAATGAAAGGAGTCAGAAAACAAACTAAATCAAAGGCAATCAAAATTCAATCTCAAGAATGAAATCTAGGCTTAATAAGACTATATTGAATGTCAGACAGTTAAGATTTAACAAAACAAAGCCAAATTTAGTGTTTTTTTCCTTCTTTTTCTGTATGTATAGTTTTTTAGTTTATTTTTTTGAGGCAAAGTTTTGCTCTTTTCACCCAGGCTGGAGTGCAGTGGCACAATCTCGGCTCACTGCAACCTCCGCCTCCTGGGTTCAAGCGATTGTCCTGCCTCAGCCTCTGGAGTAGCTGGGATTACAGGCGCCTGCCACCACACCCGGCTAATTTTATGTATTTTTAGTAGAGATGGGGTTTCGCCATGTTGGCCAGGATGGTCTTGAACTCCTGACCTCAGGTGATCCACCTGCCTCGGCCTCCCAAAGTGCTGGGATTATAGGCATGAGCTGCCACACCTGGCCCAAATTTAGTTTAAAAGGAAACTGTGAAACTTTCACATTTCAATGCCTTGACTTAGAGGCTAAGAAAATGTGTTTTTATTTTATTTTACTTTTTTTTTTTGAGATGGGGTTTCACTCTTGTTGCCCAGGCTGGAGTGCAATGGCACGATCTCAGCTCACTGGAATCTCCAACTCTCGGGTTCAAGCGATTCTCCTGACTAAGCCTCCCAAGTAGCTGGGATTACAGGCGCCCACTGCCATGCCCAGCTAATTTTGTAATTTTAGTAGACACAGGGTTTCGCCATGTTGACCAGGATGCTCTTGAGCTCCTGACCTCAGGTGATCCGCCCCCCTCGGCCTCCCAAACTGCTGGGATTACAGGCATGAGCCACCATGTCTGGCCTATTTCACTTTTTTTGGAGATGAAGTCTCACACTGTTTCCCAGGCTAGGGTGCAGCGGCGCAATCTCAGCTCGCTGCATCCTCCTGCCTCCCGTGTTCAAGCAATTCTCCTGCCTCAGCCTCCTCCTCTCCTAGCTGGGATTACAGGTGCCCGCCACCACACTTGGCTAATTTTTTGTATTTTTAGTAGAGAAGGAGTTTCACTATGTTAGCCAGGCTGGTCTTGAACTAATGAACTCGTGATCCACCCAGCTTGGCCTCCCAAAGTGCTAGGATTACAGGCATGAGTGACCATGCCCAGCCTATTTTACTAATTTTTTAAATTTTATTTTATTTTTTTGAGACAGTTTCACTTTGTCGCCTAGGCTGGACTACAGTGGCGTAGTCTCAGCTAGCTACAACCTCCACTTCCTGGGTTCAAGCAATTCTTATGCCTCAGCCTCCCGAGTAGCTGGGATTACAGGCATGAGCCACAGTTCCCGGCTAAAAATGCATGTTTTGATTGAAAAAATACCTATGATCTGTTTGCTATTTCAGGGTGTACTTCGAGGTAGGTGTTGTGCGTAGAATGTTTGACTGGGGTACATCAAACAGATTCTGTTTTACAAATCTGTTTGCTCCTATACCAAGCATTAGAGGCTTTCCCTCAGGACGGACCCTTGGGTAAAAGATCAGCCTCTTTTCTGTGATTGCATGAGCTTCACTGAGTTCCCAGGAAAGGAACTGGATCCAAGGAAGCAAATTAGGCAAATGTGTAAAATGATCATGCGATCATCAAATGACATCTACCAGAAAGCTATTTTGCTCCTCATTTTGGATTTAGTCCATAAACTCAAGGTACAAGTTGACAATTAAAATGATGTAATAATGGCAGGTACACAATAACACTAAAAAGTTAAAAAGGCCTTTCTGGGAAATAGTTTAGTCTCCTGGTAGACTGGAAGTAAGAGAAGGTCAAAAAACAGAGTTATCAGAGGAGAAAAGACAACATCCTAAAAGGGTGTGACAGGTGTGGACTTTGTCCTAGGCTGTACCTTCAGACATTTAAACGGGTGACCAAAGTAGTTCCGATAGCTGTCCTCCTCCCTCAGCTCATGAAACAAAAATTTACCAGTGTTGGCAACAATGGGACAAAGTAAACAGGGACAAGCAAGAAGTGAGTGGCCCAGAGCTGGGGTAAGAAGACACACTAGGTGAGGCTGTGAATTCTTCAGCATTAGGTTTCACCCTTGAAGCTGGGCTGTTCTGTCCTAGCACTCTAAGCTGATCACTGAGCAGAGAAGGCAAAAGCATTTCCATCCGAGGCAGAGCCAGCAGGGATCCAGCCACTAAGGAGGCAGTTGTGGACCGTTTTGCCAGCCAGGCAGGTATAAATGGATCACTGTAAAGTGTACACACTTGTGAGGTTTAAGCAGACAGATTCTGATTCCATTCCTAGCACCACGGCTTACCAGAGAGGGGTAAGTGAATGGGACTGTAGGGCAAACTAACCAGTCAATGAAAGGAAAGTGCTTGGCAAAGAGCCTGGCACATGGCAAGCAGTCCAGGTTAGCTATTATCGCATCATGCTTACATTCTGAGCCTGAAGGCACAAGTATTACTGCTGCACTAATTACTCTCCATTTCCCTCCTGACTCTGCTAGTTACAACTGTTTTCTTTAAGAACTTGGCCAGTCTATCCCAGCTCTGGTCTCAGGCCTCAAAGGCTACTCTTGTAATGATGTTCCCTTTAGTTAAGCAAAAATAAGTCAGTTAAAGGATTACTAAGTTTCCCAAAAGACTTTTTGAAAAAAACAAAATTTGTTCACAATCCTAACACTGCCATTTTCATTTCTTCACGTCATCTAGTATCAGTTACTTGCATACTTTACAAAGTTGTAATAACTTGGTTTTCATTTAGTAATTCACACTTTTTCTATATTGCTTTGGAGTCCTTCTTAATCCCATTTACATAATTTTAAAATTGGAAGAAATGTTACCTAATCCAACCCCTTCAATGAACAAATGAGAGCCAGGCACAATGGCTCTCGCCTATAATCTCAGCACTTTCAGGCAGGATGAGGCCAGGAGTTCAAGACCAGCCAGGGCAACAGAGTGATACCCCATCTTTACAAAAATAAAAAATAAAATTATTTTAAACCAAAAAAAGCCACAAATAAGCCATTAAACATCTTTCTAATCAATATTATCTAAAGTAACTGTGCACTGAAACCTCCTATAGTATAACACCAGTTTACAACTGCTTAAATTCAAAATGTGACAGGGCGTAGTGGCTCAAGCCTGCAATCCCGCACTTTGGGAGGCTGAGGCAGATGGATCACCTGAGGTCAAGAGTTCGCGAACAGCCTGGCCAACATGGTGAAACCCCGTCTCTACTAAAAATACAAAAATAAGCCTGGTGTGGTGGTGTAATACCAGTTACTTAGGAGGCTGAGGCAGGAAAATTGCTTGAACTGGGCAGGCGGAGGTTGCTGTGAGCTGAGATCTCACCACTGCACTTCAGAGTGAGACTCAAACAACAACAACAACAACAACAACAACAAAGTACTAATATGTTAAAAATAAATAATGTAAATAAGTAGCCAAAACAATCATAAAACTACTGTCTTCCAGGATGAACTGGGCTATATGGGAGTCGGCAAAGAAACACACAACCAAATGTCGACTTTTAATATTAATCAATATGGCCGGGCGCGGTGGCTCAAGCCTGTAATCCCAGCACTTTGGGAGGCCGAGGCGGGTGGATCACGAGGTCAAGAGATCGAGACCATCCTGGTCAAC